CTAATGAGGCGTCGAAGGGCAGACTGGCACAACCGGTCTGTGTAGATGCGGCCTTCAAGGGACGATAAGAAACTGAAAGACCTTCGCCATTTCCTTTTTCTCAAATTGCAACCATTTGGAATGATGACCATTCTTTTTTGGACATCATCCAAATTCAACCTTTGGTGAAGCTCTTTTGCCAACCACTTGGATCTTTGAGCCCGAAGGGCCCTTTGCAGGGCCATTCTCCCTTGACCATGTGGCGCCTGTTTGCCCATTGCTCTAATCAAAAGAATGTGTTGGATGGTTGAAAAAACGGATCAAGATAACAAAAAGATGTTTGAATGTTACAAATGTTGGCAGGTGTGTTGATTATGAGGCCCTCAAAATTATGTCTTATGTGAGATGTTTCATTGTTTTTATCTGACTTCACGGTTTGACCATCAGAGCCACTGCATATAAGGAAGAATGTTGAAGTTGGTTTTGCAAATAAATCCAACTGCATGGACTCAATTCGACAGCCCCACTGCCGATGCTGAGGATTGCACTTCACTGACATCAGCCATGAAGCGACGAAAGCATGGTGCAGCGCTGCTCCATGAGTTGGCCAGCGGTTCCGAAAGAAAAAAACAACAAACGAATCCCTGACCAGTATACCTGTTCAAAACCCCTATGCAAGCCATTACAGGTAATCATTTGATTATATATGTTTTGGGTGGTTTGAAGATGCAGTTCATCATCTAAAGCTGCTCATTTATTGGGGTTCCAAGTCGGCCATGTGCGGCCATCAAACCAGATTGGACGGCTCGAGCTATCCTATTTTTTGTGTGAATATAAAAAACACCATTGGCCAACATAGCTCCTGGGTGGCAGAGGGACAGCGGGCAGCGATCGCAGCTCTGGAAAAAATGTGCCTGAACACCGCTACTCAGGCAAGGTGATTTCCAAAATCGGATTTTAAGACTCCATTTTTTCACGTTTTGGGTGCAAATAACCACAGGCAATGTGGATACATCTTGGAATTCTCAGGGCTAAACACTATCAGTACGTACCAGTCTTTGTCGTCATAGAGGGGAACAATTAAACTTAAATATAAAGAAGGAACCAACAAAGTTATTGTAACACTAATTAAGTCTTGCTTCGCCTTGGCCTGTCCGAGGTTGCACAAAGCCATGATAGGGGACGACCCTATACCGATAACCCATTTGTGATACCTGCTGGAATTTGAAATCCTCACAACCGATAGGGGACGACCCTAATTTGTGCATGTCCGCTACTCACATATTATATTCATATAGTTAGATAGTTAGATAGTTAGTTAGAACAATAAAAAAAATATATATATATATAGAAGGAACCAACAAAATTATTGTAACAATAATTTAGTCTTGCTTTGCCTTGGCCTGTCCGAGGTTGCACAAAGCCTTGATAGGGGACGACCCTATACCGATACCCCATTTGTGATACCTGCTGGAAATTGAAATCCTCACAACCGATAGGGGACGACCCTAATTCGTGCATGTCCGCTACTCATATATTATATTTATATAGTTAGATAGATAGATAGATAGATAGATACCTAGAAAACCAAGGCGCTGTAAAAAACAGGGGACAGCCAAAAGTCGCAAGACTTTACCGAAAGTCGCAAAAATCACTTTCACACCACGTTCGTTTTTTCTCTCTTCCAGTGCTCTTGAAGATCCGCATGCCTCTGCTAAGCCTACCTTTGTGTGGTAAGTAAATCCAGTTTAGCACAGCACATTGTTCTGTCCACATTTTATATCACCATTTCTTCTTACCACACCGAACAAACAGCAAGTTTGTATCTTTCCAGAGTCTTGGTGTGAACCCTTCGGGATGACACCATCCGACTCATTTGGGACAGACGCCCCACGAAGTCTTCGTCCATCTGACAGCAAAAAGAAAGAGGTGAGATTGACCGTATGTTGTTCTCTTTGTCAAGCAAAAGGTGGTACCGCACCTCGGATAACATATGAAATTTAGGTTGAAACTTCCACCGGGTGATGTTCAAGACACGGAAGCTATATTTTGCACAAGCTTTGAACGAGGAAAGCACCTCTGCCAGTGATTGGACCAGAATATCTCGATCAGCAGTAGACAGCCACAAATTTGCCCGGTACAGAGTTTGGAAAAATTTGTTCGAAGCTTTCAAGCCAGAAAGAATAGCTTGGATATAGTCCACATGTTCATGGTTTGGGTGGTCGGCCAAAATTTTGGTATACCAATCCTCCAAGAAATGCGTCAAGGTGGTAGTGTCCGCGCCCTTGAACCACCCCCTGGGTAGATTTGGAAACAGATAAAAAAGATAGAATCAGTTGTTTATGTTTATGAATATCATCATCATCAAAAACTACATAAAAACACAGCAGTGGTGAAACAAACGAACCATGGACTGGACCTGGCAAGCAACGCAGAAGGGAAAGACCAGGAATTGGGGAAACCTAAGATGGTCCTTGAAAGTTGCAGCATATGCAAATTCAACGAATTGTCCTTCGTAAATGACACGAGTCGTGAATAAACTGCATCAAGCCCAGATGAGATGGCCATGTCATCAATCTTCAGGTCAAACAAGGTCACCTGCTCGGAAGTTTTTCTTCTATACAAGAAAACGTTCTTTTTCGGATTTACACCTCAGAAAGAAACAAAGACAAATGAGTAAAGTACTCTAGTGTGTTCCTTTCCAAGCAGCAATAGCATTTGCACAGATATCCCCCATGACACCCTTGTGTCCAGTGTGAAAAACATCCACTTTGTAGAATCTGTCGAGTTGGGTGGGGCTCTGTGGAATTACAGTGGTCAACGAACTTGGCTTTGTCCATGGCCAATCAGGTGCACGAGAAGCCTTCATCTTGGTGTAGTCGAAGATATGAAATTCATGCCCGCGTTGCCCTGCCAAACATAAGTGGCATATCCCAGCACCATCTTTTACTGAAGCTTCCCTCCCATGGTGCCTCGTCAAACACCCAAGCTTTGTTAATGCTGGCCAATCTCCTTTGAGACCCAGAACACAAATGTGCAAGTCCGTTGGGATCCCGTTAAGGAGAACCTCATATTGAACGCCAAGTTTGGCCCCAAAATAACCCCACTTAATAAAGATGGAATTGGATAATTTCTGGTTCGGGCCAGCCAAAAAATGCCAACCCCAGATTAATACAACTCTGGACTGTTGGGGAGTACCACCATAGTAGACCATGACCACTTTTTGGGGGTTACCATCGTATAACGAACCCACTATAACCCTAAGGTTGACATTGATCTTTATATGGGTATATTCCTTATTGATCTTTTTATGGTATAATTATATTCCTTGGTAAACCTATTGCATATGTTATAACATTGTAATCCCCAGGTTTATTGAAAATCTTGAGCTTTCCCTAATAATAATTTTTAGTATACCCGTGGTGGGATCCCATGTGGACCAAAAACTGGAACCATATTAAATCAATGCCAGGAGACCGAAACAGGGTGATCAAACAAGTCTTTCATATCTTGGGCCCATGAATCAACCAGTTTTGTGAGCCTCTTTGAATGTTTACCACGATAGCACTTTCCCATGATAGTTGTGTAAAGGTAACGGGTGGTAAGGGAATTGCCCACAAAATTGATACGCCGTCCGCCGTAGCTCGTGCCATCACCAATCAGCGGTTGCACGCTCAGCACCATAATTGGGCGTTTTTTTTGTGAAGTACCTTCATCTGCATGCAAGAGGCATGGTATGTAATGTTTTCGACGATCAGTAGGAACAGCATAGATCGGGTGATCTGGCTGGCTCCCTTGGAACTTTTCCCAGAAGTTTGCATAGACACCAAGTGATGGATCTTTAACAAGTTGTTGCATCTTCCCGTTTCGAGATAAGCATTCAATCACATCCCGGAAGCAGAAAACTGGATGTTTCCACCCGATGTTGACATAGGTTTCCTTGATATCAGCAGCTAGCCCAGAATTGGAAAGTTCCCTGAAAACTCGATTGGAATGTCCAGTGTCATACAGGCGCTTCATTTTTTTCAACAACGTTTGTGAACTGCCATGGTGAAGATGTTTTCCAAGTTCTTCACAAATCGCACTCGAGATTTCACAAGCATCAGCCTCACTGACCTTGATTGCACTGACCCCAACAAGCCCTCAAACACCCATTTGTCATGATTATACATGTCATATAGAACCCAACAGGAGCAGAAAACAGACACCTCTGAAAATATCAAAAAAACACGGGGGTGATTGTAAACAGGTTATAGAACCATAGAATAGAAACCATGGCACGCCTTTAGAAATTGCCTTGGCCAGAGCGCACCCAATGGGGCCAACTGAGCAGGGTTGCTCAGGCACCGCGTTGGTTGAAGCCGAGGTGGTACCTGCGTAGGGCCAACACCCTCACTCCCAAAATCGGTTGAACCATGATTGGCATGGGGTCCCCCTCAAAAAGGATGTAAGATTAGCTCCCCCTTTCAAGCTGGTTTGGGCCTTTTTGGTGGCTTGCCATAATGTATCCGGGATGCACATTTTTGTGTTTCCTGCTGGGCGAAGATTTGCTTAACGCAAAGCCAGGTGTTGGCCGGCACAACCAAACTATCTTTGCCGCACCGCCCCCAAACAAATATCTCTAACATATATATATATATATATATATTTATTTATATTATAATATGTTATTTATTTTCATTTGTGTATCTCTGTATTATATGATGTTGATGATATGATGTTGATGTCAAAAAATGTTTATCACAATCATGATATAGAATTGTTGGTGTGGCAAAGTTGGCAACTCCAGGCCTTCAACCTGAATTGATGTCCGGTTTGACATCCGATCATGTCTCATGTAGGGCGCTCCCTTCCTCAAAGATTCCACTCCCACAAGTATAATCAACATCTCAAAAAAATGCAACTTTAACACATCACTTTCCAGAGGTCTGGCTGCCCCAACAAACCATTGTTTTGGCATACAAAACGGTTGGGTTAGACCCTCCAACCTAGATTGCCGTGTCAACTGTTTGGAAACCGTTTTACTTCTTGGATTTGGGTCCCTTTTTGGCCCCAGGTCTGGTGTCAGACTTTGCCTTCGCTTTCGCTTTTGCCTTGGGCTCAACATCGGGCCCCCCTCGTCCTCCCGGAGTCGATGCGTTCTTCTTGAGCAATGTCCTGCAAGAGCGGGCGGGTAATCAGACAGATAGGCTTTGAAGCTCTTAATGATGGACAAATAAATTGACAGTCAAAAGAAATGTGTATATAAGTGTCATGCTAGACCATCTTTAAGGACCAATGTCAATCAGATCAGGTGTTTATTTTTATCCCTGGTATGTATCCCACAACATGTTCCCAACTCCCAGTCCTGGTCAATTTTTTATGGTCCATCGCTGCTTTGCTGCACCTGGGCCCAGGCTGAAAGAAGAATTGCGGGATGAAGAGCAAGGCAAAGTGGAACTTCGAGTGGTGAGGGTATGGGTTACAACCCCCAAAACTGACTTCAATACAGATTATTATATATAGATAAAGAACGAGAAAAAAGAGAGAGAGAGAGGCAGGGAAAAAAGATCCAAACCCTGGTCAGATGATAGGGCCCTGTGTGTCCAACTGAATCTCAACTTGGCGCAATTTCTCCTTCAATTCCTTTCCTTTCCTGAGAGGCAGGGGGCACAGATATATGTATATATATATATATATATACGTCCCTGGTCTCCTTTAAGGGCATTATATGTATATATATATATATATATTAAGTTGTTTTTTGCAATACAGTCTGGCATTTTTAAACGTACATAAACAAATGCTGTATGCATATATATATATATATTTGTTTTTTTGGATGATATACATCATACAAATTGCAAACCTTTTTTGAGCTTTGCAAAGCACATTAATGGGCATATCTCAGTTAAGTTTCTCCGGGGACATTGTCTGATCAGCATCATACTCTGCCTTCAAACCAGCAATGCCATCATGAAGGGACAAAAGGGATGCCTTTCTGGCCTCGAGCTGCTTGATTTCCCTTAGATGAGCACGTCAAAAAATCTTATCATGCTGGAGCACTTCCCGTGTAGTTGTTGGAGTTGAGTGGGCTAGAGAAATTATATAATTGCGAAATGAAGGCACTTAGCAGCTTCATCGCCCCCAAGCTCAGTCAATCTGGGAATCAGGGAGTTCATCTTCGCATTGGTCTTCAAGATCTGGTTCAGAATTTCATCAACGTTGAACACATCCTGAACTTGGGTGAAATATATGATTTTGTTTTTTCTTGACGGGGAATCTTCTATAAATATTAATCCAAACATATACATGTGTATAGTCCTCGGGAATTTCAGGCGCGTTGTCTTCCCTGCGTCGCTTGGACACGGTACTGGCACTTCCAGCCTTTCGTTTGCTCGCTCTGCTCGTGCTCATTTGGTCATCGCTGTTGCCGTCCTCATTCGTGTCCGATGTTTGCTCATCCATAACATCAGCCGCGCTATCATCATCATCATCATCGTCATCTGTCGGCTCCTTGTCTTTGATGGCTTTTGGGCGACGGGAACGGGTCTCTCGGGCCTCCACCAAACCTTCACGCATCGTGGGGAAAGCGGCCGATGATGGCCCAGAGACATCAAACTCCAAGGTGTGGGTGACCGTCTCCTCTTCTTCTTTGTTGTACTCCAAGGTGTCAGAGGTTTCATAAAGATACTTGTTCACATTCTTCTCATATTTGTCCTTCCTGCGCACGAGGATATATATATATATATATGTAAAAAACATCCCAATAATGGAAAGTATAAGTATTAAAGAATCTGATTTTCATGGACCCACCACGACCCATCCATACAGAGTCACACCCCTTCCTGATGTGGGTTTTTGCCCGCTTCGGATGGCTGCAATAGGCCTTGATGGCAGCGATGCGCTTCCTGAGCATGGCCAACGCAGGCGCGTCAGAGCTGGGGAACAGGGTGATGTAATGGAGCCAGGGGTTTGTGATGCAAATTACATCCCGGGTCTTGACAGCTGTTCAATCATTAACCAAGGGTCGCAGGCAACTTCAACTCTGTTTTCAAAGCCTCTTCGGTATAAAACCCTCCTCCTTGGCACTCCTTTCGTTTCTGCTTTCGTTGGATTGACAACTCAGCTTGGCGACGGAACATGTCCTTAGATTTTCTGAAGCTGTTTGTGGAGAAGATATGGCATTGTAAAACCAACTTATAGCTTTAAATATTGATGTGATAAGTTCTGTCTATAAACTTGGGCCCCAAAAAATATTATTCAACATGGCAAGGGTCATGGTTTCCCCCGCTTTCGATGAACAATTTGATGAGCTCTTTCCTCCCCTGACCACCATTGAAGAACTGTTTGGCGATCTCAGAAGAAACCTTTTTGTGTCCTTTGGCATTGGGTTTGCACAGTCGACGAATGGCTTGTTCAGCTCCGTTGTCCGAAATCACACGGTGGGTCTTCCCTCCAACCAATTTGACAGAGCGCTCCTTGCAGGGGTTTTAAACTTGTAAGGCCCTTTATCTCACAAAAAGTTATGACACGAATTGATGTCATGAATTGGCACATTTCAAACCCAGCCATCCTCCCGAGAAGAACGCTCCAGGGGTCTGACCCAAACAGAGTGAGAGAAGGGGAGGGAGAGAGAGAGAGAGAGAGACCTGTATATATATATAATTATACATATATATATATATAATTCACCTTTCAAAAAAAAATATATATATATATAATTATACATATGATTTGCACGTTGAAGCCAACAAAGGCACACCCCACCCACCTCGGCGGCAGGCAGAGCCTTATCGTTCTGCTCAGGCTTGGACGGTCGGCTGGAGGGCTCCTGCCGCGGGAAAACGTGGATATATAAGCTGTCTGACAAAACGACAGGGGGTGCTAGATTCTTTCATCCACCATGTAAGGATATATAACATATTGTGTGTGTTCACAAGGCAAAACAAACATGGCTCCTTGGGTCGGGCCGATGCCGAAGCCGATGATGGCTCCTTGGGCACACTCAAATGTCAACCTATCCCACATGGCAGCCTTCACATGCGTATGGTTTTCTTTACTATATTGTTCAACACTGCACAAGCTCCATTGCTAATATCAATCTGGTTGTAACTCAAATTGAGGATATCTTTTATCTTCTGTAAAGTGATACTTTGGGACATGAAGAGGACACCTCATTTGGCAGTTTTGTAAATATACCATCGAAAACTGGTTTCAAGATCTATTCCAGCCAAAGTGCCCCAGCACCGACAGGTGTAGAGGCCGTGGCAGGTTCTGAGGCCATGTGGGCAAAGAATTCCTGGGCACAGCGGGTAACAGACTAAATTTGCATATATATATATATATATATATATTTATTTATTTATTTATGTGTGTTTCTAGATTTACGCGTGCATAGGAGATGCAATCCTTTGTAAACACATAAATGGGCAACTAACGACAAATCAAAAAGATGTATATACGGTTGTTTGCATGCATATATATATATATATGTGTGTGTGTTTCCTTTTTATATATGTATACATGTGTTTGTACAACACATTCATGTTCCGGTATGTCTCAAAATGAGGTGCCCTTTTTTGGCACCAAAAGTACAATTTTTGGGAAAGGGCACCTCTTTTTACAAGAGCTCCAGATATGTATTAACATAAAGGTCATGTATAGACAGTATAAATATATACTTATATAATATATTATATACGTGTTTTGATGTACTTGTGTGTTTCTGATTTGTATGATTATTTGGTTGTTTGTATGTGTATGTCTATGTATGTATATGTACATGTGTGTACATGTATGTACAGGTATGTACAGGTATGTACAGGTATGGATATGAGTTTTACTTATGTATATAAATGTATGCATATGTATGTATGTGTATGTATGTGTATGTATGTATGTATGTAAGTATGTATGTAAGTATGTATGTATGTAAGTATGTATGTATGTATGTATGTATGTATGTATGCATGCATGTATGTAGTACTTACGTAGGTATGTCTGTCTGTCTGTCTGTATGTGAATATAAATGTAAAGAATGTAAATGCACATGTAAATGCAAATGTATATTTGTGAATGTGTGTGTGTACAGATGTATGATTGTATGTTTGTATGTATGCATGTATAGCGATGTATTTATTTAAATGTATGTATGTATGTATGTATGTACGTACTGTGTATAGAGTGATGTTGGCTGGATCCTTCTCTTACTCAGCGGGGTCTCCTCCCCCAAGAAAAAACATAAACAGTTTAAAACCTATATATATATACCCATTGACTGAATAAAGTGGGCAAAACGAGAATGTCACATTTGATAGCAACACCAGAAAGCTTTTGCAAATATGGCAGCATCCCAATAAAGAGATATAATACCATAACCTGGCCAGAAAGACCCCACTATAATTCATCGAAAATGTCTGGATAATATGGGGAATCCTTTTTTTCCGGTGGAAGGCAAAGAACATGCCCCTCTTAAAGGTCCACGCGTTATTGCTGGTAAAACCAAGATTTGTGAAACATTGTTTATAATTATAGAATATAGAAATGGGGTGTTGCCCTCACTGAACCAAGTATCATCAACTTGCTTTCCAGCAGGGGATTCCTCAACCAGCAAGGGATATATATAGTCATCCGTCTTGACAGGCGACATCTCTGGCTCCGTTGGAGTCAAAGCTTCCCGCGTGTCCCGATTTCTCATGTAAGGCTTGGTGACTGGGGGGGAAGCTACTGGAGGCAACCTCTGAGAGCGCACAGGGGTTGAAACGCAATCCATTTGGGCAGACTGGCTGTCAGTCCCAGGCACCGTTTCCGTAGGCGAATGCTGGGGTGACTTTTCTGGGGACTCAAAGTCACGACTACCCCAAAGACCTTGTTGGTTGTCAGGGTACTCTTCCTCAAATTGTTGAGAACCATCTTCTTGAGTAGCGGGGATCTCATTCTCTTTGACAGGACTGGCATCAGGTTGATCTTCATTGGTATCATTTGCAACTTCCGGGGCAATCTGATCCTGCTTTTCCTTCTCTTTTGCTAATTCCGCTTCCTGAATCTCAGCTTGCCTGACCTGCTCTCGTAATTTCTCACGAAGTTCTTGTGCAGCCTGGGATGTTGGCTGGATTTAGGTATATACATAAAGAAAGTTAAATGTTGAAAACATTTGCCGTTGACTATATTGTACATACAGGCCAGGAAGCTTGAATTTGTTCATCGATACTTTGGTTCTCTTCCTTTACTGAAGCCTGCTGATGGTTCAGGTAGGAAATGCCACGGCTCAGGGTCTCACAACTCCATTGGCGGGACTTCAGCTCAGCCATAGCTGGGCGTTCACCCATCTCTATTTGGCCTCTCCTGGGATCCTAGGGCACCTTTGTAGCAAAATGTCTGCGTGAATTTTAGGTTTGAAAAGTGCGCGGAAGCAGCATACGGAAAAATACGCCACTTTTTCACGATTCTTTCGTGCCTTTTTCACTTTTTTTTCACTCAACTTTTTCGCACAAAAGTGAAAAAATGAAAAGGCGAGTGAAAAAATGAAAAAACAATTGAATAAAATACAAAAAACGAGTGAAAAAATGAAAAATCGAGTGAAAAAATGAAAAATCGAGTGAAAAACTGAAAAATCGAGTGAAAAAATGAAACACTGGTGAAAAAAATGAATGTAAAACAAGTGAATTTTCATACTGAAAAATATGAATTGTGAAATTGTGCCTTGAAATTCCACCTCCCTTGGCGGCAGCTGCCTGTCCATTTCAAAAGCCGCGCCTGTATTGGAGTTTACTGCGCCCCTATAGTTTGGGGATCTGTGCTTTGACCTTTTCCGGCACTGTACACTTATGGTTACCGTAAAGGTACTGGCAAACTTCCCACATTTCAGCATCCTCCCAAAGATCGCCAAAGTTGTGCTTCATGGCATCCAAGACGTGGCCCATTGTAATCTCCGAAGCCGGAGGAACCTGCCACAGGGATATTATTATTATTATTATTTTCTAGGTGGCATATTATTATGGAGTAAGCCTCTTCGTAAACCAAAAAAGGAGTGGTTATAGGGATATTATTATGGCATACACTGTGACAATGCCACAGCCAAAAGTCATGGGGGCCATCCCAAACAGCCTCAAAAGTACAATGGGGATCCACATTGTGTTATAGCTTCACATGGGCTTATATCATAATATATATATATATATATATTCTAAATATATTAGCACATTTGTTACACCTTAAGAAGGTATAAGCAACCCCATTCTCAGAGGCAAGAAAGACAAGAGACCATTTTGAGTTCGGAACCTCAGTTCTGATTGGTCCCGGGGTGCCTCGCAAGGGTCCTTCAAATCAAAGTTCCTTTGTTGTAGATCTTCAAACATACTCAGGTAACGGAGGCCAAAGCCCAACGGGTAGCACCTCAAATCCCACAAACAATCTCGGAGGAAACGCAATACGGAATCCAAAGTCAGTATTGCAGTGGCTGGCACACAAATATCCACAATAATTGTTTTTGTGACTGGCAAAGGAATAACGCAATCTAGGCACGCTGAATGCTTCAAAGCCTTCGTTTTTCCCACAAAACGGGATCTGCCACGTTGGTCTCGATAACGTTTAACCAACATACTCTTCTTGGATTTCCGGGTTTTCAACTGGCCGGTTTTGAAACGCCAGATTTTCTGCGTGTTTCCCCAAATCACACTCCTTTTCGGGTACTTGCTGCCCAGAAGTCGCATCCAGAATCGAACTGAATAAACCTCAGAAGGCAAAATGGGGGATTAGTATATTCCTGGGTCTTTGCAAGTAACTTGAAGCAGGGACATGACCCCTCAAAACACACTTTGTATATATATATATATATATAATTTATTTATATATATATATATATATATCATGTTTCTCCACGTGGGGTTGACAGGACATTTTTTCTCAGCTGGGGCCATTGGTTATACAATACATCAAAAGTTGTTTTGAACAAATAAAACATTGTAATACTCCACTCCAAACCGAATCATATAAACCCTGTGTGTCGTTAGGTTTCTTTCCATGGGTATACCCTCATTATTTCAACCTATATAATTTCAATATATAGGGAGCACCAAGCAACTCTCACCAACCCAACGATTTGTCGAAATCGTGGGTGACGAAAAAGGAGTGACGTAGAGGGCTGCTCTATTGTGAACGTTCCCTTGTGGGCTAGGATTATGTAGATGAGGATGCACATCCTGCACGTGGTTACAACGGGGAAAAGACCAGTATTCTGCATCACCCATACATATAGAGGTATATCACATTTAACATACTTTTGCTCCTGGCACAAAGTAGGTTTCCAAGCTTGACACTGCTGACAGAAAGGTCTCCAAGGGGAGCCAGGTACGTCCGGGCCGTCGTGGCTCTACTGAGCAGCACCCAGCTACTGCAAGGCAAACCGAAATGGACAACCACCCTCTTCTTGGCCCTCAAACAGCTTAGAAGTAACAACCTGAGAAGGCAAAGGGAAAATCAACGTCATCAATCATGATGGTGATTTCACAAACCCCTGTCTAAGCTTGTTGAAGATAGTGGGCCCCATATGATTGAAGCATCATGCAAAAAAAAAGCTGCATTTGTGATAAGACCCCGGGTCCTTTTCCAAATTGTATGTGCTACTTGTATCCATTTTGTAGTCTATATGATAAAATATACTATACATATAAATGTAAATGAATAAAAAAATATATATATATATGGTAATATATATATATATAGTGTATATTTGATTAACATATATGTTTGCATTTAGCTTTATGATATACAATATATACATATTTATGTGCAGTCCATTTCAAAATGTATATAGATATATCGAACAAGACCATCATTAATGTAAGAAAGTTTTTCATAGCAAACGCAGACAACTTGCAATATCAGATTGTTTGTCTATAACTAAAATTTATATATTTATCTATTCTACTATATCTGTATTTGTTATGTGTCTAGCAACGCCATGCCAGCAGAAGTGGCCATATCCAGCGGGTTCCGACACCCTGGCAACCCACGCGTCGTGGCATACCCTTCCCAATCGATGAGGTCAAAAGCGGCTACTTGGATGCCACGTCCGAAACGGAGAACCCGGCTCAACAGCGCCTTGCACGAGCAAATCTCCAAAGCGTCCCAGGTCTGGCAGGTCTCGGGGGGACGAGTTGGCAAGTCTTGCTATGAAATTACGGGGCTTTAGGAAGGTGTGCAACTTAAATCTTCTTTTTGGAAACTGCCCCCCATGGGTACAACCATGATTTCTGGATGTCTTATATTTGTTACCTCCAGCTTCCAACATGTTGGACATGAACCCCAAAACCACCAAAATTTACTCCAAAACTGCCAAAAAGGAACCCCCCCACCCCCCCCCCCGGGGGGGGGGTTCCTTTTTGGCAATTTTAGCAGGTTAAGATACATGGAGACTTTTTCAACATGAACAGGCCTCATCCATGGGAAGGCCATCGGTATAGAACAGCAGAAGGATTGCCAGCAAAAGAACCTGGGCCATCATAAACACATTCACCATAAGCGGGCTTTTCCTTTTGTTTCATTTAACATGGATTTTTGATAGCGCAGTCGATGTTGCTATGAAATCCTATATCTTAAAAACGTGATGTTGCATATCATCTTTCAAAGGTGTTGTTGAGTACATGTAAATATAAATGTATAAACATATGTATACACAATGTTTAGGATGCACACATCTTTTGTTCAAGGGAACGAATGTATATAAGCCAAGAAACACCGGGGGCCCGAAGTTGCAGTAGACGTCGGAAAAAATGAATCTGCCGACTCTCCATAAGCATGATGTCTACAGGAATAAATAACCCAGTTGTTAGAACTTGAACCCGAAGCTGTAGCAAGCTCATGATGATCGCCTCCCAATTATGAAGACATGTTGGAGATTTTAAGATATATTTACCAGCAATATATTTTGCCCTGGTGACCATACATATAGTACGAAAATAAAGATATATCATGATATATCGATGTTACAGTGTTGAATCCCCGGGCACCAGGCACAACACACACGCACCAAGGTGGGAAGGAGGCGGCACCTGTCCGCTGACGTTTGGAGCCGAACCCATAGTGTCGGACTCTCCAGCTCTTACTCATTCTTCAGGGGCCTGGCGGGGTCAAGGGATGGCACTGCTCCATTATGGTTTCTGTCCTGAAGGGCATGGCTAACCTAAAGAAACGTAATGATCAAGTATAATGATGTTGCTTTCTTGGCTGGGTTTTTTCCCCATGATTGGTCCAGATTGTTCAACCCTGTTCCCAATGTGAAAACCGGATATAATAGAGTATACAGGCATCCATGCCCAACCGGTTTTCATCTTTTTCTTGGCACCGACGACGCTAAGCTTTTCACACTTTGGTGCAAGAGTGTCCATAGAACAACCCCAAGCAAAGTTCTGCAACACACTTGGCTACCACCATCAGGGCGAAGAGCATTCCCATTGTGCTACCGTTTGCACCCCGAGCCAACTCTTATGGCCAAATCAGGCTATAGGACAAAAGTTTTTTCTTTGAATCTGGAAAGGCAACAAAAGATGTGCAAGGTTCACCCTGCAGTTGGCCAGGATCAGAAATAGAATTGCTGATGTTGCTTCACATTCCACATCACGTGAGTCGAACAAAAATGACCACACAGCGGGTGCACTCATGAAAACACAAATGTCATCGAACCTCTTTCCATGCAGATAACAATATATATATATGGTTTTAACGATGAAAATTGGAATGAATAAAATCCACTTGCGCCCACTGCGAGACCAAAAGAAGATATCTATGATCTCTTCGCGCGGGGTTTATAGTCAGGATTACGGCAAGTTGTGCATCCTGTCTTCGTGCCACGACAACGGCTACACCCAAATGTGCGTCCATCAGCACTCTCACTCTGAGGCGGAGATCGTGCCACACTCTTGGTGCGCGCGCGTCTCTTCGGAGCAGGCTCGGAGGGTGTGATTGGATCAGGGCATGAACCAGCGGAACCATTCTTCACATCGTCCCCTGACTTGTCCTTTTTTTTTCCACCTCGAACCCTGGGTTTCAGCTCAGACTTCTCCGCCTTTGGCGGCCGACCCCTAGACTTAGCCTTAGGGCAACCCTTGGATTCCTTATGAGCCTTACTCCGCGCTTTTGATTTTGGTTTGGGGGCATCACCATCAGCATTTTTCCAGGGACGACCCTTGCGACCCTTGTTGGAAACCCTCTGGGAAGCACGAAGATTGGCTTGTGCAGCCGGCGTCACGTCATCATCCTCACCATCCTGCAAGTAACCGTGGCCAGTTCTTGTAAAACACGGACACGTATAAGTATACATTGGCTGGTTCTCTGTCACCAAACATATTTTTTGGGGTGGGAATATCAAAAATGATTTTAATAATGTAAAGAAAACAGTTATCACCATGCTTGAAAAACACTCAAGGTTAAATAAACTTGGAACATGCCCTTCTTTTTTCAAACAAGGTAGTCCTTGCTGCTACTCTGCTGAACCTCACCCTTCTGAGACTGAGCCTCGTCACCGTGCTGGCCTTCAGGATGGCACGCTTCCATCTCTGCGCCATCGCCGTTGAAAGGCAGCGTATCCACCTGCTAGTGCGGGAAGGAAGATCGGGAATCTCCAGCCCAAGAAACACACACACACATATATATATATATATGTTTACATAGAGATAGATTATGGATGGATGGGCAGATAGATATAATATAAACATCAGGTTCTTCAATGGGTTAATCGAATATACCCTCAAACTTTGATGGTGGGTCACTATTCACCCGTGAAAATTTCAACTTTGATATTTATATTTTTCAACAGACCCTCTCAGCATGGATAGAAATAGATTGCTATAGATAGGTATGGGTGTGTGGATGGATAGAACGATAAACAAAAAGATAAAGAGAAAATGAAGATAAAGAAAAATAAGGACTGATACATCTAGATATAGATGGGTAAAGATTTCGATAATATATATAGAGAGATATATATATATATATACATACAGGTAGATACGCATAGATGAATAAAGACTTTAGATATAGAATAAACAAAGGGAGGTATAGATCTATAGATACTTATATATATATATATATACAAAGAAAGGTATAGACATACAGGTATAGATATAGGTAGATATAGGTATAGATACAGGTACAGATGCAGGTGGATAAACAAAAATAGATATATCAATGAAAATAGATATAGGTAAATAAATGTAAAGATATACAGTTCTAAAATTTCCCATCATGTGAAATCAGAAAGTGGGTCTATATACCCCACCTCGTCCGGGTTCACACCTGGTGGAATGAGATGATCCACAGGTTTCACTGGTGAATCAATCAAATCCACAACTTCACCTTGGGCCGGCTATAGGGTCGCACTGAACAACCCGTGTTTTATACAGTTGGTGTTTGGCAAAAATAAAAATACAGTAAAGGCCACACACTTTCCCCAAAAAGAAGAACGATTCTAAACAAGGGTCCCTGGGTAAAGACCGGCTCCGGAATATTCTTGGGATCTTTGGACCTGGGCTGATGCGGTATGAAATTTGTAGTGTGCATGAGTGGAAAAGCAATACAAAACATACCTCCTGCAATGCTTTAAGCACCCAATGGATCCCAACCAAGCCCCCTACCCAAGGTTTTGCACGAGGTCCCCAATCTCCGATTTCAACTGCTGAAGTCTTTGCATCTTTGAGGCCCCACAGGATGAGGAAGTGGGGTCTGGTTTGATCTCAGGGACATCCTTTGGGCTCCGTTCTTCTGTGACCTTTCGGGTTGTTTTCTTGGGGGATTTGAAAAGCTTCTTGGGAGTTGGTTGTGTGGTCGAGGCTGCCTTGGTTCGAGCCTTCTTGCGGGATGAACTCTTCACAGTTTCGGGGCGGGTGCCCTCATCACTGTCATCAATCTCAACAACTCTTGGGATAGGAACGTCACTTGGTGGATCGTCATCCCCGGGATCTTCCCAGTCATTCCCTTTGCTAGGGCTCGGGGTTTTCCCCCTTTTGCGCTTTGCGGGTGGTTCAAGCTTCCTCAACTCTGCAATCTTCTCCAACACGAATCGCACACCAAAATCCTAAGAACAGAAGAATCAAGAAACCTTCAAAAGGAGGAGGGGGTTCGTGACAATTGGTCCCGTCATTTTTTGTGAAATTAAAATTAAAAAAAAAATATATATATATACTTCATAACGCAAAGAAGTGTCCCGAGGAGTTTGCCCTCGCCGGGCGCAATCCCTTTGCCGGCGACTGGCAAAGGTCAGCATCCTGCGAATGTGCCAACTGTCCAAGTAGGGCTGTTTCTCGACGTCAGGCACGTGCCCAAGAAACTCATTCAGGAACTTCACCTAAAGGGGGGTCTTGCAAAACCGTATTTTTTTCATGATATAGAGTAACTTAAGACAAGAAGATGATGCGGACATGTAGGGAAAACACATCACATGTGAAATGAAATTTAGTATCCCCAGCATGCATTCCTCACAGCCCCGCCTGCTGACACAATACTTTCAAAGTCTGACGTTCAAGGCCAAACTTGTCAAGCACTGCTAGCAGAACTTGGTGGTTGAAGTGGATGGTTTTGGAACACATAATAAACTCTCCATCTTCTGTTTGGGGTATCTTGAGCCACTCCTTGCCCTTGCGGACACGGTTCCGAACCACCGTGATCAACTCCCATTGTTTGGCAAGTCTGCGGTCTATGTCATCCTTCGCCTTCATTTTCCCCATGGACCGCCCCATGGCGGCACAAGAAAAATTTACCCCCGCTGACAGCCAAAAGGCTGAGTTTGTTTTTCGTTGACTTGGCATCTATACAAGGCAAAACCTGGGATATGTATACATATATATATATATATATATAGATAGATAAGTTGGAGGTAAAGATATTAAATTTGTACCCCCCCATATTTTCACTTTCTGCAGTCATACAACATCCAAATGTTTTAGTACCAACACAGTAAATAGGTGTTATATATTGATTTAGATATAGGTATAGATAGATATAAATAGATAGATGGATGGATAGATAGATAGATAGATAGATAGATAGATAGATAGTTAGACAGACATAGATAATCATATCTGTAATACGCCCAGCTGTTCCCGCCTCGTAGCAGGCAAATCTTTTGGTTGCACCACCTGCATGCAGCAAATGGTGTTGCTTGGCAACGAAGTTGTGAGGCATGATGTGGCATGGGCTTGCCGTTTGGAAACAGATCTTTTCAGAACATATTACCATACACAAAAACATGTTTTCCCAAGCCAATCAACATGAGACCGCCTCGATGAGAATGAAGACGGGCATTCTTCCTTCTGGTCCTGCAAAGCCATTTCCTAGTGTTGACACAGCCAAATCTCTGTGCTAGGAAAGGTATAGTAGGGCAGTTTAGCCACGTGTCATATTTTCCAATTATCCCCCCAAAAACCATCCAATTTTAGTAAATGGTTGATATATATCTGGTTGCTTAAGATTCCCTAAGGGTATTCTATATGTCATTGGGCTCATGGCTGGTAGTCCATGCACCCTTCTGGGGTCTTTCAGGCACCGTCCGTGTGTGTGTGTGTGAGGCCCAACCTTGTGTATTATTCGATTCCAAACCCAAGGCTCCCTATGGAGTTCAATGTTGCATGGGTGATATTGAATAAATCCGATCTCTCGATCCCACCCACCATTGGCACAAGAAGCTTGTCCTCCAAGGCTTTGCTATTTTTTCGCAGCCACGGCGTGAGAGAAGCGGCAACCATCATGGGACAAAAGCCGGTGGGGAGATGGAAAATTATAGTGGTAAAAATCACAAGCTCATTTTGAGATAGATTTGCAACCACCAAGGTTGGAATTTTAATTGGGGAATCCCGGCTGGTTTTTGGGCCCATTCCTGGATTTACATCTGTGTTACACCTGCACTTCTCCAGACAAAACGTGGCAGCAGCTGTGGGTTTGAAGTGATCCCGCCGGCAGTTAGGATATGCATATATATAATATATTTATATTTATATCTATTGGATGGGATTTAGAAATGGGAATCTTAAATACAAATTTATTGTGGAAGTCTTAAATGCATTAAACAACATATAGTGGGAGATCCTATGGTATATGTGTCGAAAGGTTTCACATATAAATCTATCCATGTGTATATATATATATATATATAGATGTAACGTTCTGTACCTATGTAATGTTAATATTATATTTATTGTGCTACAGATCTGTTGGGCATAAATCTGATAGATGTCTATATAACATATATATATATATATGGCATGTTATTTAATACTGGAAAACCCCAAAATCAGGAAAGTCGCGAGGCTTTCCCAAAGGTCGCTTAAAAAACTGCCACTCTAGTGAAAGTGGCATGTTTTCCAAAGGTCGCAATGAATTTCCTGCAACTTTGGCGTTCTAGGTAGATAGATAGATAGATAGATAGATAGATAGTTAGTTAGTTAGATAGATAGATAGATAGATATATGAATACTATATTCTTTGGTGTTAAAGATGGGAACAATAAAAAATAAATATATCCAGGGATAAAGATATATAGAAGGAACCAACAAAATTATTGTAACACTAATTTAGTCTTGCTTCGCCTTGGCCTGTCCGAGGTTGCACAAAGCCTTGATAGGGGACGACCCTATACCGATCGCCCATTTGTGATACCTGCTGGAAATTGAAATCTTCACAACCGATAGGGGACGACCCGCATGTCCTCTACTCATATACATTTTTTAAATAAAGCTAGATAGATAGAGAGAGGGATATATATATATATATTTATATGAATACTATATATTTATATAACGTATACTTGGGGGTGCTGTTCCATTAAAAAGTGCGTTATATATAGTGGCTTTGCCCCAGTTTATGGAATTTAGTAACTAAGCACCACTGTTAAACCCAACTGCACCCTCAAGTATACAATAGATATAGCTCTTTTAGGCTCAAGAGTCGCACAGGAAGAATATATACTCCCAGTTTTTGAATCGGACCAAGAAACTGCAACCGCCAGATTTCATATTCATGCATGAGACCATGTTTTGAGCCAAACAAGGTGCAGCACGAAGCTACCCCAAGCAGACCTTATAGCTCACTTATAGGGTCTGGTTTGGAACCCCTATACCATAGAGCCGTCCAACCTCTGCTGGATTCCAAACAACATGGTGCTTTGGCAAAGACTGGCGACATGCAGGCGGGGCTAGAGACCTTCAATCAGCAACCGTGTTCCCCGGAATCCTGCCATTCCGTTACACTTGCAAAAGTATTGCTTTTTGGTAAAGCTGCGCCATTTTTCGCAAAAAAGGTCACTGCAGCAATCTCATTTTCGAGGCCGTAAACCCATTGGCTTTTTGGACTCCAAAAAGTGGTCCTCCCCAGTTGCGTTGAAGCTTGCTGCTTGAACAAAATCCAAAACCCAACTTTGATTTATTTGCGTAATGTAAAGAGCTTCGTGTTTCGAGCAGGTCGCAAGGTTCCACACTGCCAAAAATGGGATTGCCATGCGCAACCGCTTTTCGCTTTGGACAGGGCCATTTCGAGGCTGTTTTCAATTTCTATTTTAATAGCAGGCGAGACCAAAAACGGGCGCGCAAAATCCACGCGTTGGAGCGTGTGGCAATCCTGTTTTTGGGGTTGCGACATGACGCTCGGAACGCACACAGCTGCTTCAAAAGTTCGCCAGAAAACATTAAACCACAAAAGGCAGGAAGGATGACACAAACATCCACGTGCTGAACTGGGGAGGACCGCCTTTGGGAGTCCAAATTCTATATACCTTTCCAACCCCAAAAATGGGCATCAAACAAATCGAACAGTTCAGGGACATCATCTTGCGCATCTTGCGGTTTCTTGCGGAGTCGTCTGGAGTCACAAAGTTGGAACTCTTTCAACTCTTTCCCCATTGTAAATGGGGTTCCAGCAGGTGTACCGACTCGGCCCGACTCCGGCAAGACTCCGCAGCTAAAGACATCAAAACTGGCACAAAACTGTGGTAAAACGGAAGTTTTGCATCTCCAGCCTTCTTACGGAATCTGCTGGAGCCATGAAATCGAAACTCTTCCCCCAATGCAAACAAAGGATTCATCCGGTTTTAAATATATACTATTATTCTTTAACCGGATGACATGGAACTCCGGGCGACATACACAACCCGACCCGCAAAGTTGCCGCGTTAGGAGTCTAGGGGGGCGAAGGGAGGGGAGCCCAAAAACAAACAACGCATCAAGAGACCAAAACAAAACTGAGCAGTGCAAACGCAAACGCAGAAAAAGCATCCCGCCAGCAATGTCGCAGCGGAATCAGCACCTCACCCACGCCATGTTGCGAAAGCCTGCGACAACAACACCCAAACAATTCCAAACAACATGATGCTTTGGCAAAGACTGGCGACATGCAGGCGGGGCTAGAGACCTTCAATCAGCAAGCGTGTTCCCCGGAATCCTGCCATTCCGTTACACTTGCAAAAAGTATTGCTTTTTGGTAAAGCTGCGCCATTTTTCGCAAAAAAAGGTCACTGCAGCAATCTCATTTTCGGGGCCGTAAACACATTGGCTTTTTGGACTCCAAAAAGTGGTCCTCCCCAGTTGCGTTGAAGCTTGCTGCTTGAACAAAACCAACTTTCATTTATCAATTTTTTTTTTATTTTTGCGGATGTAAGAGCTTCGTGTTTTTCGAGCAGCCGCAATTTCCACACTGCCAAAAATGGGATTGCCACTCGCTAACAGCTTTTCGTCTTTGGCGGGCCCTTTCGAGGCTGTTTGCAATTTCTATTTTAATGCAGGCGAGACCAAAAACGGGCGCGCCAAATCCACGCGTTGGAGCGCGTGGCAATCCTGTTTTTTGGGGTTGCGACATGACGCTCGGAACGCACACAGCTGCTTCAAAAGTTCGCCAGAAAACATGAAACCACAAAAGGCAGGAAGGATGACACAAACATCCACGTGCTGAACTGGGGAGGACCGCCTTTGGGAGTCCAAATTCTATATACCTTTCCAACCCCAAAAATGGGCATGAAACAAATCGAACAGTTCAGTGACATCATCTTGCACTTCTTGCGGTTTCTTGCGGGTCGTCTGGAGTCGCAAAGTTGGAACTCTTTCAACCCTTTCCACATTGTAAATGGGGTTTCAGCAGGTGTACCGACTCCGCCCGACTCCGGCAAGACTCCGCAGCTAAAGACATCAAAACTGGCACAAAACTGTGGTAAAATCGAAGTTTTGCATCTCCAGCCTTCTGACGGAATCTGCTGGAGTCATGAAATCGAAACTCTTCCCCCAATGCAAACAAAGGATTCATCCGGTTTTAAATATACTATTATTCTTTAACCGGATGATACTGAACTCCGGGCGACATACACAACCCGACCCGCAAAGTTGCCGCGTTAGGAGTCTATAAGGGGCGAAGGGGGGGGAGCCCAAAAACAAACAACGCATCAAGAGACCAAAACAAAACTGAGCAGTGCAAACGCAAACACAGAAAAAGCATCCCGCCAGCATTGTCGCAGCGGAATCAGCACCTCACCCACGCCATGTTGCGAAAGCCTGCGACAACAACACCCCAACAATTCCAAACAACATGATGCTTTGGCAAAGACTGGCGACATGCAGGCGGGGCTAGAGACCTTCAATCAGCAACCGTGTTCCCCGGAATCCTGCCATTCCGTTACACTTGCAAAAGTATTGCTTTTTGGTAAAGCTGCGCCATTTTTCGCAAAAAAAGGTCATTGCAGCAATCTCATTTCGGGGCCGTA